CCAAGCCAGGCAGTCAGGAAAACCAGAGAGCTTTATGAGAGACAACATGGGCTAATAGGTAGCATACCAGACGTGGAGTCAGGAGACCTTGGCTCTATTATTAGCTCTGCTATTGAGCAAGGTGCCTCAGTTTACCCTCCTACCCTTTGGCTGTTTTGTCTATTTAGGGATTAAGCTCTTTGGGTCAGGGACTAACTCTTACTGTGAATTTGTACTGTGCCTAGCAAAGTGGGACCCCTGATCTCAGTAGGGGGCCTTTACTGTAATAAAGGTCACAAGATATAGGGTCATATTACTGTAGATTGGTGGTCCACTGAGTCTGGCCCACATGTTAAATGCAGTGAGATTACATTAAATAAGGGATTTTTAGTGTAAGATCCTGTAGTAAACATGTTAATTTAGATTTACAAGATTCTAGTAGCAGCTTCCCAAGAAATAAACACCCCTTTAAGGTAAAAAGGCATCTAACTGAAACCTACCAGCACTAGCCTGGCCTGATCTCCTAACTCAAATTAAGCTACTGAAACTGGAATAAGATCTCAACACCGGAGCAAGACACCAAGCAGAACTAAACTGTTAGACTACAGCAAGCCTTTGAGCTATACTGTACTCCCAAACTAGAGCAAACTTCTGAGCTAGGCTAGACATACTAGTAAGAATGAGGCTACACTAGACTTCAAATCAACTACACTTCCAAACTGGAGTGAGTAGTTTAGGCCAAGAGTCATTTATAGTTTCATGGTCCTTTAGCCCCACCCCTGAAATGTTTTGGCCAATCAGCCCCTTAATCTGATCCAAAATGGAGTCTCACAGACAGCAGAAAACACTGGCTTCTCCCAGCTTCAAAGAAAATGTCATTCATACATCACCCCAAAGTAAAAGCACCTCAATTGTCTATTTTTTTCCCCAATAAGGTAATAAGGAGGAAAAGAGAAAGCAGTTCTGTAGTGCACACCCTGCAGCTTGGTTCTACTTTCCTATCTCTCTTGGGAATTCAATAAGAAATTTTAATATGAGGAACATATATTACCCTTTTAACCTGTTCCTAACCCTACCCCTCTATGTTCTTTGGGATAGCTTGCTGTGTTGCATGGGCAAATATTCACATAGCATTCCCAGTATGCATCCAAAGTGTAACTTACACCAACATTACAACCTCAGAGGTGGCCACAGTAGTTGCACCTACCTAGTCCAACCTGCATTTGGCTGAATTTGGTGCCACAAGTTCCTAGACCCCCAATAGTGTGTGATTAAAGCACCACATTGTACTGGGACTTGGGAAATCTGAGTTCAGTTCTGCCACAGACTTACTGCATGATCTTAGGCAAGTCACTTCTCTCTCTGTGCCTCCATTCCTTGTCTGTAAAATGGGGACAATGCTTCACAGTATAGCCATCAGTTCTTGTGAGGCACTAAGCCACTTTAGTGATAGGGGCTATATAATTATAATGCCTGCTGCTTTCCTGTTTTGAATGACTCATTTCAGCTCAAAGAAATCCAGATTCCTTTGTATCTAAAGGAACCCAAGATCATGTTTTTAAATTCTAACAGGGTTATATTTGCCCATCACACACAGCTCTAAAAGTCTGGCTAGCACGGAGAGGGGAAGTGGGGATGTTATACTTAGAAACGGATTTAATTAACCTTGCTGTTTATTGCTTGCTTCCAGAGTTCAGTGAGGTTAGGAAAAGAACAAGGGAATAGGTCACCCAATGTTTACACTTAGATTTTGAAGAATAGACCAGTGACTTATTTTCCCCCCTGTTTCTTTAAACATTCTGAGTCTAAAGTTGTGGATTAATTTTGGAGCCAGGATGGGGAATGTTGATTCAGAGGGTGGTAAATATGTGGTGTTAGGATGCAATGTTAACTCCTCTGTTGTATCTTTAACTCTAGCACATCTCTTTACTTCCCTGGCTTTTTGTATGCTAAGAGCATTTTGGAGATCCTCAGCAGACTGGCTGAAATTCACCACTAGGTGAAGGGCCAGTACAGAACTTCAATTGTGCATAAGCTTTGTGCTGTCCTTCTGCACAGGGGGTAAACTTCACCCACTATGGACATTTAAGGTGGTATGGGTTGATATTTCTTTTTTAGAAATTGTTTCAACTAAACCCTAAGGATATGTCTTCATGACAGAGTTAACCTGGGCTCTTCTTATTCAAATAGGTAAACACCAGATCTCCAGAGCACCCTGGTGTCATACACCCTGCAGGTGCATTGCACGTTGTTTTTTTTGTAAACTCTGTGGTCAACCAAGATGTGCATAATGAGAGAGTAGTAAATCTCCTTTCTGGTTGACATATTCATATGCATCTTGTGGGGGCAGACAAAAGGCACACGTGTCATTGATGGACCCAGCACATTTCAGGATCCCCATTCTCTCAAAATCAGCTGTTTTGGGGGGGGCATTAGCAATCTCCACCACCTATGGGTAAACTACAGCAATAGGACCTTGCAAACCTCCGTCACCACATTACCAACAGTTGATTTGCTAACACCGAACAGGTTAGCTTGGGGTAGTTGGCTTCCAGAGGGGAATAGAAACCCTCCTCTGCACTTCCACACCAGGGCCCAGGAAGGACAGACAAATTCTCCCACTATACACTGCAAAATGATTAATAAAGCTCTGCAGCTTGAAGAACCATGGGATATGCCCCAGAACTCCTAGTGCCTAATCCAGGTTAATTCAGTGTAGTGTTGACACAACTACATGAATGAGTCAAGTGTTGCTTAGCAGTGTGGAGGCTCATACCCAGGCTTGGCTAACCCATACTCAGGCAAACTCTGCAGTGAAGACATACCCATAGCATTTAACAGACATCTGCTTAAGCATCATCCCTTTCTTCAGTTCTTTCCAAGTTGAACCTTGGTGTCCTAGCTCTATATGTCTGTCTGTGTGCCTATTTTACCAGGTTTATAAAGGCACAGACCTGCCACAGACTGGGGGAGAAGGGCCAATGAGTGTATAGGTTGCCAAGGATCGAATGGAATCTGACTCACAACTAACACACTGTATTTTCCCCCCTTGGTTGCTTTTATTCTGGCTAGGTCCTCTCATCTCTCATGGTGACCTGAGGGACATCTATAGCTCCCTGCCTTAGCCAGACACACAAACATGCTACAAGAGTTAAGTTGAAGCACAGGCAGATCTAGTTAAAAGGTGGGCTACATTTCCTGTTGCCTTTCACTTGTGCTCAGGCATAGAACATTTGAGTCAGTTTGGGCAGCTAGGCCAGATCTTAGAACAGCAGGCAATAAACCACTGAGCTAATTTCTCAGTAGATGGGTTATCAGGAAACCAGCCTTCATTCCTCATTGGAAATAACCCATTGTACCAGGAAGAGGGAAAATAGATGGTGAGCCTCTCATGGCCCTGACTGATACATACAGAAGCAAGAGGTACAGTTGAAATGACTTCCATGAAGTTGTTGTGGCTGTGGCAAGTAGCTCCCCAGGCTGGCTCTGAGTCTAATGGGCAACCCAGAAGCAAGCAGGAAAAGGTTAAATCAGCAATTTGTACTGTACGTGAAAACAAGGGAGGCAACTGAAATGGGAGGATGAACTAAAACTGGCTCTGGTTCTGTCAATGGTGAGGGTTTCACTGCCGGAGATGTAAAATATATTGTCTACTGATGGAGAAGGGAAGAAAGCTTTATAGAAGTAATGAAAATACAGTGTGTCCCTGGAATGAAATATCATCTACTGTACAAGGGAGAGATGATCCACATAAAAGGAAAAAAAATAAATTTTCTACAGGCTTGAAACTAAAAAGCCAGTCGTCAAAATAAGAGACATTCTCTCCCTGAAGACTGAGGAGCAAACCCTCAGTGTAAATAGACTCAGTTCCGTTGACTACACTGGAGATACCCTGCTTTATGCCAGCTCAGGATCTGATCCTATATGTTGATGGGGTGTGAAAATATCAAGGTGTGAGAGGTTACCCAGGGACATGGAGCTGATACTGGAAAAGGTATTGGCTCAAATTCTGCTCCCAATTACACCAGTGTAATACTGGAGTAACTCCACTGACTTCAGCAATGAGCAGAATTTGGTCCCATCTGTATTTGCCAAACAGTGGACAAACCAAATGCAAAAAAAGGCCTTAGAAAGAGGCTACTAAAACATGACTGCAAATACCACTGCTAAAAAAGCAAAAAACTGTTTACAGAACATTTAAAAGAAACATAAATAAAATCCTGCCGTAACAGTTCTAGTAAGGCACGCAACATCTCACCTGCATTCCTTAGACGGTCCAAAATGGAATCCTTCATGTGGCTTGACCACACACCTGTGGAGCATGCAAGGTCACACTTGCCACAAAATGGTGTCCTCTATGGGAGATGAATGGAATTGTTCCATGGGCTGTCAGTTGGCCGGCGTGCTGCTGATCAGCCATGCAGGGCATAAGTAGACAGCACGCCACTGGAAATCCCTAATACTTGGGCATCTCATAAGCCCAACCATTATGCAATAACTTCCAAGTGGTACAATGAGCTACAGGCAAGATACAGAGATTCCTCCAGCAGAGGAATCTCTGTGCTTTGTAAGCTTTTTTTCTCTTGCCTTCTCTAAAAGACGTAGAGTAGACAGCTCTGGTGACATGCCTGAATCCTGAAATGAAGGTGGTAATTGTACCACAGGAAGAAAGTTGTGTGTTCCAGTAACACAGAGGAAGGGGAAGTAGAGAGGAAGGATGATCTTGTGGCTAAGCAATCATACTAGCATTTAGGAGACTTGGGTTGGAGACTTGCCTCTGCTATAGGCTTCCTGTGTGACTTTGGCCAAATCACTTAATGACTGTGTTCATCATTTGTAAAATGGAAATAGTAACCCCTCTCTTTGTTTACTTAAATTGTAAGCTCTTTGGGGCAGAGACAATCTCATTCTATGATTTTGTACAGTAACTAGCCAATGAGGCCCCAGTCTTGGTTGGGACCTGTGGGCACTTCTGTAATACAAAAATGATACCAACACAGAAACTTTAATCTACGACTCACAGTTTTCCACCAACAGAGGGGCTGTGAAACAGTGCCTGGCAGAAAATGGCTTCATTTGCAGAATAGAAGTGATACCCGACGAGGTTCTCTCCTTTGGAACTGTAGAGGAAAAAGGAAGTAGACATAGATTTGGAATGAGCCCTGCAGCTGAACAGAATCATTAAAAGGGAAACGTTCCACTTTTCAGAAACCCACTGACTGCACACCCTTAGTTGTCAACAATATCCCCCTATAGAGTATCCTTAAACAATTACAGCCCATACTTGATGGCAACAGCGTCCTGAAAGAATTCTTTCCTGAATCCCCTTTTCTGGCCTTCACTGGATTTGATGATTTTTTCAATGGTTGTAAGCACCCTCAGGGATACAGCAGTTAGTGATGATGTGGAACAAGCAGTAACAGTTCATGCGAACATGATAAAAGCACTGTGTGCGCTATCGCCAGAGAAAATAGCTAAGAACAAAACACTCAAGCACCAATACAAGCTATAAGTGAAAGACAGAGAAACCAGGGCTTCACATACACCCTATACAAATGAGTTTTCAGGATGAAATTCACTCCTTTGCAGAGGGGCCACAGAAGCTAGACTAAGCTGAAGAGGTCCGGGGTGTAGCGTTGTATCTAACCATCCATATATCCGTTGAAGTCAGTGGGTCGGATCCTCAGCTGGTGTAAATTAGCATAACTCCACTCAAGTCAAAGCCTGATATTCAGCTGGTGTAAATCAAAGTAATTCCATTGAAGGCAATGGGCCAGATTCTCAGCTGAAAAGAGCGACATATATCCGTTGAAGTCAATGGAACACCATCGATTTACAGCAGCTGACATTCTGGCCCACTTTGTTTTATAGTTAATGCGAAACAGAGAAGAATTGTCCAAAAAGACCAATTGAGACATATTCATGTTGCAATGATAGCAACTAAAAAAACAAGGGGGTGTGGGGCATTTTCCAAGTTCAAACATTGTAATTGTTAGACTAATGTATTAGTGTATTCAATTTAGAAGAGAAACTTTTAGAAAAGGAAATGGTGTTATTAAAGGCGGAGCTGGTTGTGCCAGGCTGTGATGGAATACCTTACACACTATTGTAATAATCTTTGTACAAGGTGTGCCTTGTAAGATATCATTTGAAAACTCGTAATCTGCTAGTCAGTAGTGTCCTGATAAAATATAGTGACAACATTGTATGTGAAGTTACAAGATTTCCCTGTCTGGTGGTATTAACACATGTTCCAAACCCCACTGCCCTGCCCAAAAAGAAATTGGCAAATAAATCTGTCCCAAGCAAAGGAATGTGGGCATGCCTTAATTTGCATTTGAGCAGTAAGTAGAGTCATCAGGTAGGAAAGGAAAACAAAGGAAGCTAAAACAGGTGAAAAAATCCATCAAGGAATATCCTTCCACATAGATTCTTTGGCTCCTGGGTCTCAGCTGGAAACGTTTTTCAAGAGGGGGACTGAAACTATTAAAAGGAGGAACAAACACCAGACGGCACCCTTCTCTCTCCCCCTACCCACCTCATTCTCTGCATCCGAGAAAACGAAAGGAACCAGCTGTTGGACACTGGGGGAGGGGTCCTGACCTGTAGAGGTTGGTCAGTAACTTTGCTGGAAACACGTGGTGTGAAAGTTTGCTTTGCAGCTAAGATAGTTTCTTATGTCGATACCAGTAACCATTTTTTTTCTTGTAACCATTTCTGACGTTCATGCCTCATTACTTATACTCACTTAAAATCTCTTTGTAGTTAATAAACTTGTTTTACTGTTTTATCTAATCCAGTGCATATAAATTGAAGTGTCTGGACAACTGTTTAAGATAATAAACTGGCATATTATTCCCTTTAAAGGAATAATAGACTTAATATACTTGGACTGTCCAGGAGAGGGCTGGGCAATACAGGTCTTACATTTCTGGGGGAAGATCTGGAACTGGGAGAGGGGGTGTTGGGGTCACCCTTCAGTATAACCAAGGCTGAGAGCTATGGTGTAGCTGGCAGGCTGCAGTTACACAGACACTTAGCGTGTGGATTGCATGCTGGAAGGCTGTTTGAGTGGCCCTGGTGGGAGCTACTATAGCAAGGCATTGTAAAGCACCTAAGGTTGCAGGGCAGGGGTGACACAGTATCCCCACCCCGGTCTTAATTGTACCCCAATATGTCACTGTGGAAGGACTCGGTCAGGGCTCGTCCCTCTGCGGGGCTATGGGGTACCACACCGCCTCGCTACACCATTTTGACTGGGTTGGGGAACACCCAGTCTTTGGCCCAGACCTCCAGGCAGGGCCGCGCAAGGATTACTTTATAAGCCCTGGCCCTGGGTTCGGGCGGGGCAGGAAACAAACAGTCAGAGACTCAGGCCCTCAGGCAGGGGCTGAGCAAATAGTTCAATAGAAGCCCAGGCCCTGGGCAGGGCAGGGCAGCAAACAAACAGTCAGGGGCTCAGGCCCTCAGGCAGGGGCTGAGCAAATAGTTCAATAGAAGCCCAGGCCCTGGGCAGGGCAGGGCAGCAAACAAACAGTCAGGGGCTCAGGCCCTCAGGC